TCTCCAGGCCGCTCATGGCTCGCTGGAGGCGGGCGTGCTGCTCCAGCATCCACCTGAGCGTGCCTGGCAGCACCTTGTGTTGGTCGGAAGGTTCTGGAACCTGCAATCACCAAATGAGAGAAAGGGTCGGGTTGGAAGGGAGCTCAAAGCCCGAGCTCAAAGCCCACCTCATTCCAGCCCCTGCCAGGTTTGGGGCCCCCCCAGCCTGCGCCAGGGCCTCGCCGCCCTCCCGGGGAAGGATTTCTTCCTGATACCTGACCCAAACGTGCCCTCCTCTGCCTCAGGCCGTTCCTCTGAGCCCCCCACTGCACTCCCTGACAGAGTCTCTCCCCAGCTTTCGCGTAGCCCCCTCTAGGGACCTCAGGCCGCCCCGAGGTCTCCCCGGAGCCTTCTCACCCCCAGCTTCCTCAGCCTGTCTCCTCACCTGGACGTGAGCGTCCTTCACAGGGCGGCGGCTGCTGCCCTTCTCGGAGCCACAGCTTTCCTTGGCTCCCTGCTGAGGTGCGTCCTGGGCAGGCTGAGCCCGTGTTGGCGTCTTTGGCTCTGCCTTGCGCAAGGGCCCTTCTTGGTCTTCTTGGCCCTTTGTTCCCTGGCTGTCCTCTTGCTCGTCCTCGAAGCCCGCCACAATGTACTTGATGAAAAGCTTCTTCTCCAGCTCCAGCTCGTGCTGCAGCTGGCGGATGCGGGCAGGCTGGTCCCCATGCGTCTCCCAGCGCAGTTCCTTGAGGACAGCCTGGAGCTTGGCGCGGGCTGCGCTGCTGCTCGTGCAGGGCCTCCGCAGCTCGTCGGCCAGCTGCCGCTGCAGCTCCCGCGCTTGGTGCGTGGTAGCGTCGCGCTCCTTCTGCAGCGGCTCCTGCGCTGCCTGCAGCTCGGCCGCCTTCCAGCGCAGCATCTGCCGGGTCTCGGTGGCGCGCTGCTGCCGCTGCTGCTCCTGCAGCCGCTGCGCGTCGAGGGCCTGCTGCCTGTCCCACTCGCACTGCAGCTGCTGCACCAGCAGCTGCCGCTCCCTCTCCTCCGCCTCCTTCACTTTGGAAATCTCTGCGGCGAAGTGGCGCCGCAGCTCCTGGTTGTGGAGGCGCTCGGCCTCCAGTTTGGCACGCAGTGCCTGCAGCTCCAGCCTGCACTCCTCCTGCTGCGCAGAGCTGCCATTGAGCTGCGCTGGGCTCCATCGGGGCGTGGGGCGGCTGGGCCCCATCGGTCCCCTTCCTGCAATGTCCCGCACCATGGCCACGGGGACAGGAAGAATTGGCTGAACTCTGACTGCTGAGGCCCTTGGCCACTGACGGTCGGTCACCTTCACTGGGTCTGCGAGGGCCAGCAGCCCCTGACCCTGTAGCGTCTACTGCCAGTCGCACCAGTCGCACCAGTGCAGAGACAGCGTCTGCTACTGGCAATGGGGCCGTGCGCCTGGAATTTATAGGGTGCGCGGCGTGACCTCACAATGGAGGGCGGGGTTATGCCCTTTGTGGAGTTGGGCGGTGTGCATTATAGGATCACTGAATACCCCGAGGTGGAAGGGACCCTTCAGGACCACCAAGTCCAACTCCTCACACGGTGTTGGGCTGGTCGGCCCGCTGTGTCGGAGGGATGTTTGGGTGCCCATTGCCTTGGGGTGCTTGGTGTTTGGTGGTGTTGGGATGTAAGGCCTGGTGTTCGGATAAATCACCTTCTTTGGTCCAGTAATCACAGAATCACAGCATATTGCAGGGACAAAATTAGGAAGGCCAAAGCTCATCTGGAGCTCAATCTGGCTACTGCCGTTAAAGATAACAAAAAACGTCTTTATAAATACATCAACACAAAAAGGAGGACTAAGGAGAATCTCCATCCTTTACTGGATGCGGGGGGAAACTTAGTTACAAGAGATGAGGAAAAGGCGGAGGTGCTCAATGCCTTCTTCACCTCAGTCTTTAGCGGCAATACCGGTTGTTCTCTGGATACCCAGTACCCTGAGCTGGTGGAAGGGGACAGGGAGCGGGAGGTGGCCCTCACTATCCGCAAAGAACTGGTTGGCAACCTGCTACGGCACTTGGATGTGCACAAGTCAATGGGGCCGGATGGGATCCACCCAAGGGTACTGAGAGAACTGGCAGAGGAGCTGGCCAAGCCCCTATCCATCATTTATCAGCAGTCCTGGCTATCGGGGGAGGTCCCAGTTGACTGGCGGCTAGCAAACGTGACGCCCATCTACAAGAAGGGCCGGAGGGCTGACCCGGAGAACTACAGGCCTGTCAGTTTGACCTCAGTGCCAGGGAAGCTCATGGAGCAGATTCTCTTGAGAGTCATCACGCAGCACTTGCAGGGCAAGCAGGCGATCAGGCCCAGTCAGCATGGCTTTATGAAAGGCAGGTCCTGCTTGACGAACCTTATCTCCTTCTATGACAAAGTGACGCGCTGGGTGGATGAGGGAAAGGCTGTGGATGTGGTCTACCTTGACTTCAGCAAGGCTTTTGACACCATCTCCCACAGCATTCTCCTCCAGAAACTGGCTGCCCTAGGCTTGGACTGGCGCACGCTTCGTTGGATTGGAAACTGGCTGGATAGCCGGGCCCAAAGAGGCCCGGTAAATGGAGTCAAGTCCAGTTGGAGGCCAGTCACTAGTGGCGTCCCCCAGGGCTCGGTGCTGGGGCCGGTCCTCTTTAATATCTTTATTGATGATCTGGACGAGGGCATTGAGTGCACCCTCAGTAAGTTTGCAGATGACACCAAGCTAGGTGCGTGTGTCGATCTGCTCGAGGGTAGGAAGGCTCTGCAGGAGGATCTGGATAGGCTGCACCGATGGGCTGAGGTCAACTGCATGAAGTTCAACAAGGCCAAGTGCCGGGTCCTGCACCTGGGGCGCAATAACCCCAAGCAGAGCCACAGGCTGGGAGATGAGTGGTTGGAGAGCTGCCAGGCAGAGAAGGACCTGGGAGTGATGGTGGATAGTCGGCTGAATATGAGCCAGCAGTGTGCTCAGGTGGCCAAGAAGGCCAACGGCATCCTGGCTTGTATCAGAAACAGTGTGACCAGCAGGGCTAGGGAGGTGATCGTCCCCCTGTACTCGGCTCTGGTGAGGCCGCACCTCAAGTACTGTGTTAAGTTTTGGGCCCCTCGCTACAAGAAGGACATCGAGGTGCTTGAGCGGGTCCAGAGAAGGGCGACGAAGCTGGTGAGGGGTCTGGAGAACAAGTCCTACGAGGAGCGGCTGAGGGAGCTGGGCTTGTTCAGCCTGGAGAAAAGGAGGCTCAGGGGCGACCTTATTGCTCTCTACAGATACCTCAAAGGAGGCTGTAGTGAGGTGGGGGTTGGCCTGTTCTCCCACGTGCCTGGTGACAGGACGAGGGGGAATGGGCTAAAGTTGCGCCAGGGGAGTTTTAGGTTAGATGTTAGGAAGAACTTCTTTACCGAAAGGGTTGTTAGACATTGGAACAGGCTGCCCAGGAAGTGGTGGAGTCACCATCCCTGGAAGTCTTTAAAAGACGTTTAGATGTAGAGCTTAGGGATATGGTTTAGTGGGGACTGTTAGTGTTAGGTTAGAGGTTGGACTCGATGATCTTGAGGTCTCTTCCAACCTAGAAATTCTGTGATATCCCAATGCGGAAGGGACCCACGACGATTATCAAGTCCAACTCCTGACTCCACACGGGAGCATCCATTAACCACACCATACGTCTGAGATCATTGTCCAAACGCTTCTTGACCACCGGCAGATTGGTGCCATGAAACCTTTCAGCAGGAGCAAGTTCCAGAGCCTGACCACGTTTCTAAGACACAATTCCTGATATTAAGACTGAACGTCTCCTCTTGCAGCCTCGTGTTGTTGCATACGGATGTTTTTAATACAAAACAAAACAATAAAGAGACAAAACAGCCATAACAGGACGTTTGTGGAGCAAACCTTCAGTTAAGAATAGTTCTCATTTTGGAATTTGATGCCCGTGAAAAGAACAGTCATGCTGTGTGGGGGGTTGCGGAAAGGCTCCCCTGGGGAGTTCAGCTGTACCCAAAGGCTTCCGTTGGGGGCTTTTTTTTGATGGGAGAAAGGGGCTCCGTACGCATTTTCTGGGGCCCTCTTTTATATTCGTCTCAGTGTTCCAGTTAGGGTTACGTTTAGGGTTGTTCAGAAAGAGCAAAGACAAAGAGTCCAGTTTCATGCAGGGCTGCATAAAGGCTCCCCAGGGGAGTTCAGCTGTACCCAAAGGCTTTCCTTGGGGGCACTTTTTGGGGTTAGGGTTAGGGTTAAGGTTAGGGTTAGGGTTGGCGTTACGGTTAGGCGTTAGGGTTAGTGTTCGGGTTAGGGTAAGTGTGAGGGTGAGGCTTAATGTGAGGGTAAGGTTGAGGGTGAGGTTTAGGGTTAGTGTTAGAGTTATGGTTTAGGGTTATGGCTTGGGGTTAGGGTTAGGATTAGGGTTGGGGTTGGGGTTGGGGTTAGGGTTAGGGTTGGGATTAGGGTTGGGGTTAGGGTTAGGTTTAGGGTTACGGTTGGGGTAGGGCCTTGAAAAGGAGATGGATATGCTTTTCTTCAATCCGGGAAGAACGGGATACATAAGGCCCGAAGACTGAGTTGCTTGACAACTTAAAGCGAGACATATCGTTCAAAAGGAATGGAAAATGGAGACTTATTTGTGGTCAAGAAAAGGAATGGAATATGGAGACTGTTAAGTCATGGAACTTAAAGGATTGTTTGTTACCTTTCCTGATTGTACTTATGTATAGGCATACTCGGGTTTAGTATGGAAAGCGATGTTCTGTGTATTTAGCATGTTTGATGTTCGTGTGTGCGTGTTGGTGGAGCGTAGACTCCCTGCACACCCAGCACTGTTGACTTGCCTTTTATACCTTTTAGAAATATTTGTTTTATAAATATTACAAAATTCAGATTGAGTTGAGACTTCATTTATAACACTGGCCAACCTGTTCCAGCGTGCAGTGACCTGCAGGGCAAAGAAGTCCTTCTCCATTTCTATAAACCTTCTGGAGAAGAATCACCAAGGCCAGGCTCATTATTGTTGACAGTTTTATTGACTTTTGGTGCCATCGGCACCCCCACCCTGATCTTTCTCCTCCTCCACCATGAGTGAGAAACAGAAGGGGTCGCTGCAATCATCGTTTCCTTCCCTGGAGGTTTTTTCGTCCTCTTTGAGCACGTCATGCAGCTCCTCCAGGAAGGTTTCTGCAACGGCCCATGTGTAGTGGGTTTACATGGCAATGTTTTGGTAGCAGGGGGCCATAGGGGTGGTTTCTGTGAGAAAGATCTAGAAGCTGCCCCATGTTTGGGAAGGGCCCCATTGTTTTCCAGATCTGAGCCAATAAGCGATGTTGTTTTGCGCCTCTGTGAGAGCATATTTAAGACAGGGAAAAAACGCTGCGACACACAGCAGCCGGGAGAGTCAAGGGAGTGAGAAACAGCCTTGCAGGTGCCAAGGTCAGTGTAGAAGGAGGGGGAGAGGTGCTCCAGGCGCCGGAGCAGAAGTCCCCTGCGGCCTGTGGTGAGGACCATGGTGAAGCAGGATGTCCCCCTGCAGCCCATGGAGTACCCCGGTGGAGCAGGGTTCCACGCTGCAGCCCGTGGAGGAGACCACGGTGGAGCAGGTGGCCCTGCACCGATGGAGGCTGCCGCCTGTGGAAGACCCCTGCCGGAGCAGATTCCAGGCCGGACCTGTAGCCCGTGGAGAGGAGACCACGCAGGAGCAGGTGATCTGGCAGGAGCTGCTGCCCGTAGGGGAGCCAGGTTGGAGCAGTTTTCTCCTGAGGGATGGACCCCGTGGTACGGACCCATATCTGGAGCAGTTCTGGAAGAGCTGCTGCCTGTGGGAAGCCCACACCGGATCAGTTCATCAAGGACTGCATCCCGTGGGTGGGACCCCACAGCACAGGGGACGAGAGTGACCGAGAAGGAGCGGCAGAGAAGAAGTGCTGTAGACTGACCATAACCCCCGTTCCCCCGCTCCCCTGCGCCGCTCGGGGGGAGGAGGTGGAAGAGGGTGGATGGGGGGGAGGTGCTTTTGGTTTCTTTCCTTTGTTTCTCACTTCTCTAGCTTGTTTGTAATGAGCAATAAATCTTACTATCTGTCTTCTTATGCTGAGTCTGGTTTGCCCGTTACACTAATTATTGCGTGATTTTCTCATCCTTATCTCAATCCTTGAGCCCCTTTCACATATTTTCTCCCCATTCCTCTTTGAGGAGGGGGAGTGAGAGAGCGGCTGTGGTGGAGCTCGGCTGCCCACTCGAGCGGAACCACGACACCATGCAGCCATCATATCGGGACAGATTTCTTTGTCCAGATCATCCCTGGCTTCCCTGCTGCTGCTGCTGCTGCTGCTGCTGCTGCTGCTGCTGTCAGTGGAGCTCTCCCCCTCATCGGTGTCCAGAAGGACATCCCCCAGATCTGGCGGCACTGCTGTCAAGCTCAGGTCGTCAAACACTTCTTCCACCAAATTGGAGGGGACGAAGCCTCTACTGCCGTCTGTCCGCTCTCCTATATACCAGCCATCCTCATCCATCTCCCCAATGACATAAACAAACTGCCCCGCCGTGAGGGGAAGCTCTCGCTCCGGATGCTTGTTGGGACTATCAGCAGGGTCATAGCTGTTCAGAGCTAGGAATTTCCGAATCCTTGCTGGTCCTTGTCCCAGTGAAGCCTGCAGGTCGAAGGGCTGCTGCCAAGTTTCCGCTTCTTGACTTTCATCTGCAGCGCCCTCCTCTGCAGGCAGGCTGGGCCCTGGGCTGTCCTCTGCCGGTTGGGATTCGGAGGTGGCTGGGTGGGTAGGTGAGAGCTGTGGCAGACGGGTAGTGGCAGGGCTGGATTGCTCGCTTTGCAGCCGCTGCAGCTCCTCAGCGAGCAGCTTGAGTTGTTTGGTTTGATGGTGGCACCGATCTTCCAGGTCGGCGACCTGGGCTCGTAACATTTGCGAGGCTTCCTCGTGCTGCCTCTTGCCTTCTGCCTGAGCTCTCTGCAAGCTCTCGAGCTCCTGTTCTTTCTTCTGGAGCGCCAGCTGTGTCTCCAGGTGTTCTCTCTCCAGCTGTGGCCCTCTATCTGCAATTTCCTTGAGCGCTTTCAGCTGGCACTCTGCCTCTTGCAGCTGGGCCTGAAGCTCGCTGACCTGTTGCAGGGCAGAGTTTTGCTCCTCTGCCATTTGCTCTACCTGCTTCTTCAGGTCAGCATTTTCAGCTTGGACTTCCATCGCTGCGTCCAGCTGCCTTCGGAGGTGAGAATTTTCTTCCTCCAGTCGGTTTTTCTCCTTGCTCAGCTGCGTGAGCTGGGCAACCAGCACCTCCTCGCTTGGGCTGGGGGCACTCTCACAAGGTGGCAGTGCCTCAGCGGAGCTTTGGCTGGGTGGAGGCCCTGGAGTCTTGCTGGCCTGGTGGATGGCCTTCAGCAGGGATCTGCATTTCTCCTCCAGCTGCTCGGTAAGCACCACCAGTTTTTCCTTGGCTTCCTGGAGCATCTGGAGCTCCTGGCACTCTTCCTTGGTGCTCGCCTCTCTCAGGAGGCATTGCTTTGCCTCCAGGGCCTGGCGTTGCTTCTCCAGGCCGCTCATGGCTCGCTGGAGGCGGGCGTGCTGCTCCAGCATCCACCTGAGCGTGCCTGGCAGCACTTTGTGTTGGTCGGAAGGTTCTGGAACCTGCAATCACCAAATGAGAGAAAGGGTCGGGTTGGAAGGGAGCTCAAAGCCCGAGCTCAAAGCCCACCTCATTCCAGCCCCTGCCAGGTTTGGGGCCCCCCCAGCCTGCGCCAGGGCCTCGCCGCCCTCCCGGGGAAGGATTTCTTCCTGATACCTGACCCAAACGTGCCCTCCTCTGCCTCAGGCCGTTCCTCTGAGCCCCCCACTGCACTCCCTGACAGAGTCTCTCCCCAGCTTTCGCGTAGCCCCCTCTAGGGACCTCAGGCCGCCCCGAGGTCTCCCCGGAGCCTTCTCACCCCCAGCTTCCTCAGCCTGTCTCCTCACCTGGACGTGAGCGTCCTTCACAGGGCGGCGGCTGCTGCCCTTCTCGGAGCCACAGCTTTCCTTGGCTCCCTGCTGAGGTGCGTCCTGGGCAGGCTGAGCCCGTGTTGGCGTCTTTGGCTCTGCCTTGCGCAAGGGCCCTTCTTGGTCTTCTTGGCCCTTTGTTCCCTGGCTGTCCTCTTGCTCGTCCTCGAAGCCCGCCACAATGTACTTGATGAAAAGCTTCTTCTCCAGCTCCAGCTCGTGCTGCAGCTGGCGGATGCGGGCAGGCTGGTCCCCATGCGTCTCCCAGCGCAGTTCCTTGAGGACAGCCTGGAGCTTGGCGCGGGCTGCGCTGCTGCTCGTGCAGGGCCTCCGCAGCTCGTCGGCCAGCTGCCGCTGCAGCTCCCGCGCTTGGTGCGTGGTAGCGTCGCGCTCCTTCTGCAGCGGCTCCTGCGCCGCCTGCAGCTCGGCCGCCTTCCAGCGCAGCATCTGCCGGGTCTCGGTGGCGCGCTGCTGCCGCTGCTGCTCCTGCAGCCGCTGCGCGTCGAGGGCCTGCTGCCTGTCCCACTCGCACTGCAGCTGCTGCACCAGCAGCTGCCGCTCCCTCTCCTCCGCCTCCTTCATTTTGGAAATCTCTGCGGCGAAGTGGCGCCGCAGCTCCTGGTTGTGGAGGCGCTCGGCCTCCAGTTTGGCACGCAGTGCCTGCAGCTCCAGCCTGCGCTCCTCCTGCTGCGCAGAGCTGCCATTGAGCTGCGCTGGGCTCCATCAGGGCGTGGGGCGGCTGGGCCCCATCGGTCCCCTTCCTGCAATGTCCCGCACCATGGCCACGGGGACAGGAAGAATTGGCTGAACTCTGACTGCTGTGGCCCTTGGCCACTGACGGTCGGTCACCTTCACTGGGTCTGCGAGGGCCAGCAGCCCCTGACCCTGTAGCGTCTACTGCCAGTCGCACCAGTCGCACCAGTGCAGAGACAGCGTCTGCTACTGGCAATGGGGCCGTGCGCCTGGAATTTATAGGGTGCGCGGCGTGACCTCACAATGGAGGGCGGGGTTATGCCCTTTGTGGAGTTGGGCGGTGTGCATTATAGGATCACTGAATACCCCGAGGTGGAAGGGACCCTTCAGGACCACCAAGTCCAACTCCTCACACGGTGTTGGGCTGGTCGGCCCGCTGTGTCGGAGGGATGTTTGGGTGCCCATTGCCTTGGGGTGCTTGGTGTTTGGTGGTGTTGGGATGTAAGGCCTGGTGTTCGGATAAATCACCTTCTTTGGTCCAGTAATCACAGAATCACAGCATATTGCAGGGACAAAATTAGGAAGGCCAAAGCTCATCTGGAGCTCAATCTGGCTACTGCCGTTAAAGATAACAAAAAACGTCTTTATAAATACATCAACACAAAAAGGAGGACTAAGGAGAATCTCCATCCTTTACTGGATGCGGGGGGAAACTTAGTTACAAGAGATGAGGAAAAGGCGGAGGTGCTCAATGCCTTCTTCACCTCAGTCTTTAGCGGCAATACCGGTTGTTCTCTGGATACCCAGTACCCTGAGCTGGTGGAAGGGGACAGGGAGCGGGAGGTGGCCCTCACTATCCGCAAAGAACTGGTTGGCAACCTGCTACGGCACTTGGATGTGCACAAGTCAATGGGGCCGGATGGGATCCACCCAAGGGTACTGAGAGAACTGGCAGAGGAGCTGGCCAAGCCCCTATCCATCATTTATCAGCAGTCCTGGCTATCGGGGGAGGTCCCAGTTGACTGGCGGCTAGCAAACATGACGCCCATCTACAAGAAGGGCCGGAGGGCTGACCCGGAGAACTACAGGCCTGTCAGTTTGACCTCAGTGCCAGGGAAGCTCATGGAGCAGATTCTCTTGAGAGTCATCACGCAGCACTTGCAGGGCAAGCAGGCGATCAGGCCCAGTCAGCATGGCTTTATGAAAGGCAGGTCCTGCTTGACGAACCTTATCTCCTTCTATGACAAAGTGACGCGCTGGGTGGATGAGGGAAAGGCTGTGGATGTGGTCTACCTTGACTTCAGCAAGGCTTTTGACACCATCTCCCACAGCATTCTCCTCCAGAAACTGGCTGCCCTAGGCTTGGACTGGCGCACGCTTCGTTGGGTTGGAAACTGGCTGGATAGCCGGGCCCAAAGAGGCCCGGTAAATGGAGTCAAGTCCAGTTGGAGGCCAGTCACTAGTGGCGTCCCCCAGGGCTCGGTGCTGGGGCCGGTCCTCTTTAATATCTTTATTGATGATCTGGACGAGGGCATTGAGTGCACCCTCAGTAAGTTTGCAGATGACACCAAGCTAGGTGCGTGTGTCGATCTGCTCGAGGGTAGGAAGGCTCTGCAGGAGGATCTGGATAGGCTGCACCGATGGGCTGAGGTCAACTGCATGAAGTTCAACAAGGCCAAGTGCCGGGTCCTGCACCTGGGGCGCAATAACCCCAAGCAGAGCCACAGGCTGGGAGATGAGTGGTTGGAGAGCTGCCAGGCAGAGAAGGACCTGGGAGTGATGGTGGATAGTCGGCTGAATATGAGCCAGCAGTGTGCTCAGGTGGCCAAGAAGGCCAACGGCATCCTGGCTTGTATCAGAAACAGTGTGACCAGCAGGGCTAGGGAGGTGATCATCCCCCTGTACTCGGCTCTGGTGAGGCCGCACCTCAAGTACTGTGTTAAGTTTTGGGCCCCTCGCTACAAGAGGACATCGAGGTGCTTGAGCGGGTCCAGAGAAGGGCGACGAAGCTGGTGAGGGGTCTGGAGAACAAGTCCCGTGATCTCGATGATCTTGAGGTCTCTTCCAACCTAGAAATTCTGTATGATACTCTCCTAGCAATGCACTAAAGCTTTTAGAAGCAGGATATAGCATTCATTAGGCAGAATAAGCTACTTTTTTTTTTTTTTTTTTTTTTTTTTTTTTTTTAGGTAACTGCAAAAATCTAATTTCTAAACCATGGGTTGAGGTAAAATTGCAGTAATGAAGTAGGTTGTGTCTGTATATCTGGCAACTAGTTTCTTGCTTTGTGAGCTTCCTGACCTGACCCCTTCAGCCTTTCAAGCATGGCTTACTTGATCCTCTGTGCATCTGCATCTCACGTAGTCAGTCAAAAGCTGTTTTTTGGCTGCTTTGAAAAGCTTAAACCCCAGCCATACATCTGATAATCTGAGGCCGTTGTCAGATGCTTGGTAGCATCCTGAATTAAACTATGCGACGCTGCTTCCCATCCACACCGTGCTGCTTGTTCCTGAACCTGCATTTGTACCACGGTGACCTGGATCAGGGAAGCTGCACCCGTGGAGGAAAGGGTTCATCCTCCAGGCAGCTTTCAACCACTCTGGGTTGCTGAGTGGGAGGGAGGAGGATGGTATTACCGCCCTGTAGCTGATGGTAAAACTTCCCCTTGGAAACTAAAGGGTTGTGGAACAGTGAAAGTAGTCTGGTTTGCTCCTAAGAAAAACGGTATTTCCCTAACAGAAAGTCATTGAAATCCTGCGTATGTAATGTGAAAACCAATGCTTTTAAATTTCACTGAAGATTTGGTTGTTTGGAAATGGAGAAATTAAGATTTGCTTTCATGGCGGAGTTTGGTGACATGCACAACCCTTTCATGCAGATTCCTCCAAGCTTTCTGGTGTTTTGAATAAATGCAGCAAACCTAGATGGACATCTTGATCGTATTCTCAGTTTTACCACTTCTCAAACCAGTTGTGCTCAAAGAGAAACCATCAGAGCTTTGGAACTATGGACCTCTCGCTTTTTAAGTTAATGCACAATGAACACACACAGTCATCAGACCACTCAGCCCTTCACTGAGCGCACAGATACTGAAATCATGAGATGCCTTGAGGGTTTCTTGTTGTTTGTTTTTTTAAGTATTAAGCTGCTCTTAAAATAGAAATAGTTTAGCCAGCACCTACAACCTCTCATACTATACCCTTTGGAATATGAAAAAAAGCTTTCTTTGCCTAATTTTGCACACACTTCAAACTTTTTTAAAATGTTTTTTAAGACCTGATTTAGTATTTGATATTTTTATCAAACATTGTTTTCATGTCTTGTACATGTTTGTCTGATTGTTCTGTGCAAAAGAAGCCTCTGTGTACTTCACGGTATCAATTGAACTAGGTGTGCCTTACACAGCACAGAAATGTAAAATTATCTGAAGAAAAAATGCTGTAACTGTAAATATATATATACATATACAAACATAAATGTGGGATGTTAAATGCTTTGCCTCTGATTCTTACCTTGTACTTGCTCTATATCTGTTTGGGTATTTACATTTAAAAGAGCTTACAGATGCAGACATCTCCAAACCTCAGTCACGCTGCTTATTCAGGAACTGACAAGCAGTTAACCTCTCTCATGCTGTAGTATTCCTGATTTTTCTACCCTGCTCAGTGTATAGTGATCTTATATTTTCTGTTGTGAGACCCAGCACCCACTCTCCTTTGAGGGAGAGCAGCATCTTTACATGCCTACTGTACTGTTACTGGTATTGAAGAATGGAAGGGGGGGTTGTGAGTAATGCATGTTAGGAATGTCTTGCAAGTGCAAAAGTTATTGCCCAGCAAGATAAAGTGTTTGGCAAATCAACCTGTCTCACTATTTAAGACGGCACAAATCCACAACGCTCTGGGCAGGGTTTGCTATGTTCCTCTTAAAGCAGTGTATGTTTACTGGATGACCAAATTCACAACAGTACCGTGGTATCTATGAAAGTACAAGAGAAAAGAGAAAGAGCTGGAAGATTTCTGCTTTGGCAAAGATGAATGATAATGGAAATGAGACTATATCTTATTTAAAAACTGACATTTTCCCCTCTTCATTTTCTTCACTCTGCTCTTTCCTGTGTACCACCTGTCCCCTTCCACACTTCCCCTTTCCCCCAAAACCACATTACATTCCCAGTAATCTAGATTTAAATATTCTTCTGGGAACCTTCGCAATGTTAGAGTCTGATGTGTTTGGGTATTATTTTAAAGCACCGTTCCGTAAATGTGAGTATATTGAGTAGGATTAATTGATGCAAAATATTTTAAAATGGTATTTCTAATTTACCTTTCTTGGAAAATGGCTCTGCCTTTGATTTTGGAGCACAAAGATAAACTGGCAGTCACGCAGAGAGAAAATTAGCCTACACGAGATGGCAGAATGGAGTGTTTGCATATTGACTGCCTAGGAGTGCTCCAAGCGTGCCAACACAGGCAGTGAATGACTAGATGGGAAGCAGTAGTCAGAAAAGGTTTGGAAGAATATATTGCAAACTGATCTCAAGTAACAACAATGAAATGCTTAAAAACAAAACAAACAAACAAAAAACCAGGTAAACGTCACACTGGGTTGCACAAATGGGACGTTTGCTTGGGATGCCATTGATCTTTTTCTGGTCTTCTGTGGAGTGCTGATAAAACTTTAGGAAAAAAGTTGTATCTGACAAGTAGGACAAAATTGCAGAAAGCTGTGGACCAGCTGCCGAGCAAACAGAAGGGACCTGGAAACAGCTCCCAGGGGCTTGTTGAAGCTCTTGGGGTTGCTTAAGTTGGCAAAAAGGAGACTGAGGATAGCTATGGTAACAGTATATTAAAAAAATGACTGTTAAGAGAAAAGGTATAAGTTCTTCCCATTGTGGATAGGACCAGGGGAGCTGGATGGAATTACAGGCAGGGCATTAAGGGAGATGGAACAAACCTTCCCATGCTGGCAGTAGTTAGGTATGGATGTAGACTGCCTGGGGAGGCTGCTTGGTGTCCACCACGTGGCACTGGTTGGCTGAGCACCCATCAGAGATACTGCTGGTGCAGCTGATCCCGCTTTCAGTCATGAATGTGGACAAGATGGCTTCTTCCCGTCCCCTCCAGTCTTGTTTTTGTAGTGGGTTTATGTTGCGAGGTTTTGGTAGTTGGGGGGGGGCTGAAGGGGTGGCTTCCGTGAGAAGAATCCAGAAGCTGTCCCATGTTAGGTAAGGGGCGGGCCCACTGCTGGCCAGAGCTGAGCCAGTAAGCGCTGTTGTTTACGCCTCTGTGAGATCTGGTTTAAGAAAGGAAAAAGAAAATAAAAAAAAATAATAATAAAAAACCCTGCTGCACACTGCAGCTGGGAAAATGAGCAGTGTGAAGCAGCCCTGCAGCCCCCCAGATCAGTGCAGCAGGAGGGCAGGAGGTGCTCCAGGCACACAGCAGAAGCTCCCTTGTGGCCTG